CACCTGTGGATGAAAGCACTACTGAGGTTTCTTCTGAAACACCAGCTCCGAAGCACCCGGTTTTAGGCCCGCTGAGGAGAAAAGCACCAGAAGATCTTGGTTTTGGTAAATCGCATGGAAGGAAGAGTACTACTGTATTACGAGGCTCCCGCTTCCAGCGCTCCTAAGAATATAAATAGCAATGCGGGTACTTCAGAGACATCGACTGACTCTATTGAAGTAATAAGAGAATAAAAACCGCACATACGTATATATTTGGTCCTTTTCATAGCTCATATTTAATTATTTTGTAGTTATTAAAGTACCTATATATCTATAAAGGTCTGTTGAGCGTATATGGCTAGTTATTATCCTCCTCAACGTACCTATCATTTCAAATATTAAGAGCAACTACGTCGGGATACCGTTGCATAAGAACTATGGATTTGTTATGGAATCTTAGCAGCCGGCTTCCGATACGAGAGGTGAAGGCAATTGGTAATTGGTTATAAGTGTGGAAGCATTTTGAAATTGTTGATCACACAATTTCATTGATAGGCTTGCAGCGAAATAATTGTTTATCGAGCGCACAAGTGCAGAAAACGCCGTACTGGCTAATGTAGTTTTGTCCACCGCTGCTTGAACCAACCACAAACGACACAAGGTATAGTGAGTCCTCGGATGAACTAGTGATATGCGGCTCTGCACTAAATGTATTCGAAGCAGTGGGAGTAGGTGCCTCGCTCAGGGAAATCAAAAGCAGAATTACCGAAGCTTATCACTAGAAAGCTAGGCAGAGATGCAGCTTTTGTATAGGATAGCCAGGCAGCTTTGGAATACTTATGACCCACTTACTACCAGAGTTCTTTTAGGAATAAGCTAGGAAAATATCTACGAATTCATGGCTGCCCGCATAAGATATTGACCCAAGGGTCTATATGCCGAAAGGATCGACATTATTTTCGGCAGTTTCTACCGCTGATTCACTACTTTTTCTCCAAGTCCAGCCAGGCTCTTGCAAGGGGAAGGCTAAAATAAAACCACTTGGGTAACTATTCCTGCTGAATATTTCAAAGTGCAGCCGCCGCTTTCAAACACGTCGAAACTGTATAGACTTGGGAAACAATTTACAGAGTTCAAGAGCCGCCATATCTATCCAGAACCAAGTTTGTTTTACGAAGAGTCAAATTTTTAAGTTAGGTTAAGTTAGTGTGGCAGTCGGTGCAAGTAACCTACTCACTTAGACCTTGAACGTTTATTGTGGTACCACTGCAGAACACGAGAACCTCAGTGATTATTCTTCATAGAACCACTTTGAAGCCCTTATAAAGGGTAGGATTTGCTTTATTCCCACGCCTGATAATTACGTAAGAGAGCTAAAGAAGGGCCTACCTAAAATGCTTGCTCTCCTCTTGGCCAAAGCAGAAGAAGTGCTCTACGGTTTCTTCCTCTTCCTCTTCTCTGCAACCTTTACAATATTCGTGGGAGGATATTCCTAGTCTTGATGAGTGCCTGCCAGATAGTCAATGACTCGTTACACAAACCATGACCATCGCAATATCCTCTCTTGAGAGGCTGAGCAACTCTTTCGTCCTTTTCTTATCTATTTGAGGCCATAGTAGCCTGGCCTCAAGTTCCGAATCACCTGTGGATGAAAGTACTGGTTGTTCTACAAGTACCCTCCTCTAGCCATGACCTGTTGGCCTCTTGGATCATATTATTTCTAAGCTCTAAGTTGTAGGTTGGGATTCCAATTATGCCTCTGTTTTCACATAGGGGGAGATTGGTACCTTTCCTGGTTAACTCATCGGCCTTGCAATTTCTTTTAATATCCCTATGTACCGGAACCCATATGAGGCTGACCTTGAATACGGAGCTAATATGATTTAGTGCTGCGATACATTTATGATTTAATGTCCGCCTGGCTCTGCGAGAAGATGTTAAGCGTAGTTTTCGTTACGGCATGCGTACTAAGGTAAGGCCTTATAAACACTGCAGTGGTGAGAAATTTGAACGGGTCCAGTCCTAGTTCCTTGAATAAAACTCCACAGCCAACCCTATTGTCTGACTTGGATCCATTGGGTAAAAATTTAATTCCTCCTTCTCCATGGTCTTGGCATTTGCGATTCTCTTCTTGACGGGATGCTCGTCTTAAATAGCCTTTCGTAGGTTGATTTAGGGGCGTAGTAGTCAAATCCTTGGGCATAATTACCCAGAATGAGGAGTATGAAAGTGTGGCCGTGCCGCCGATCCTTCCATAGCACCATACTGTATAGTCTGAGCGCTGAAGAGGTGGCCACGTATTCTCCTACCAAGTTTATTGCGGGTTTTAATGACCTAACTTGTTCCTCCGCCAGCTGCTTTGCTGCTGGCAGGTGCCCAATCCTAGCCAAAACCGTCCATTTGTGGTTTTTTTTTTGGATTTGAAATTCGAACTCATATTTTGGTCCCACGAGTGTCGGACAATCTGTCCATCCGAGACTGGGGCAGTTATTAATCTGGGTCCCCAGCCAGGCTGAACGTTAGCACGGGTCGTCTAACACCTTGTTCCAACCCAGAGCTTTTTCCAAAAGGTTAGCTCTTCCGTTACCTCAAAAGGTCACGAGCAAAAACCATTTCCATATAACTAAGCTATTGAGGGGCACATGGTACCGATTTCCGATCTTCGCATGACATTACCAGTCGGCACCCTCGTGGAAGGTTCAGCCGGATGATTTTCGCCAATTTTGTGATCTTCCATATCATGCATTCGCGGCCCTCAATCTTCATTTTTCAATCATCATATCCAAGGGCTCTTCTCATGTCCAAGTACATTCTTCGCTACCAGAAATTTCCAACTAAAATAATTACTATTTATTATATAAAAATAAAATTCAGGAAAACTATTTCATATCGATGGCTGAGTGGAAGATCGATCTATCTCGGTAGCCAGTTCGAAAACGCTCTATCTCAAAAAACTTTTCAAGAACGCCCTATTTCAGACTTCGTTTCAAAAACGCACTATCTCAGCTGCCGATATCAGCATATTTTCAATACATTTTGAAGTGAGATAGGGCGTTTTTGAACCGAATTTTGAGATAGGGTGTTTTTTCAATTAAACTCTGAAATAGGGCGTTCTTGAAAAGTTTTTTGAGATAGAGCGCATTCGAACTGGCTGCCGAGATAGGTCGATCTTCCACTCAGCCATCGATATGGTAATGTATGTTATTTTTTTTTCAATTGAGATACAAGGTAAAAGCTTGACACTAGCTTCGCAGGGTTCATGCGAAAAAAGTAAATAAATAAAATTAGAGATCTATACGAGCAGTTTTGTGTAAGCAAGTGTTTTGTTTTTTGTCCTTGCTCCAAATATGAATGCGTATTAGGGTGGTTTCATTTTTGTAGAATGTTTTTTGAAATGAAATTTTTTGGTATCGATTGAGTGAATTTAAATTTAGTATAGGTGTTAATTTAGTATAGGCGCTAATAGGTAGATAATAAAAGGAGCACAGAGAAATAGAGGTGTGATGTATTCTGAAACGATTTCCCGTCATTCCTTGTCAAATTTGGTTTGAACGAAAATGAAAGGAATATAAGTGCTTTACTAAGCCCGAGGAAAAGATGAATAAAACGAAGCGATATCGATAAAAAATGATAGCGATAACAATTGTAAAAGCGTTAAATGTGTACAAAAATATCGATGAGGTTAAAAATATTTGTAACAACAAGAAGGAAAAGCGATTTAAGGTAAAAATCCATACCTATGATACTATCGATAACGAGAACAATCTCGATAACAAATTTTTACAAGAATGACATATCGGCCTTAGGATAACATTCAATATAATGAAAACGGTGTTGAAAAATATCGATAACTGCAACATCGATGATGATAATAATCAGGCGAAGAATAGAATGAGATAAGCGTACAGTACATTTTGAAATTTTTATACATCTAACATTTTACTGCCTTCTACTATTTATTTGTTCTCTATTTATCGATTTCCGTATTGTTAGAATTGCATTGCTATGTAATTTCAACAAGTTACTGACCACCCTTATATCATATGCATATTACGTAAACATCTGCCCTTGTTCAAGAAATGCCTAAGTATACAATAATACGGAATGATAGTTGTATATAAGCTTGCACCAGCCATGCAAACTTCATCAGTTGAAATCACTAACATAACCGTGTTAAACGCATTTTACCAAAGAAAACTATTAAATAAAAGAAAGGAAAACTATTAATTAAAAAAATGAAATCCTTCGTAGCAATTTGCCTTTTTGGATTGATGTTCGCCGTATGCCAAGGTAAGTGGAAAGCAAGTAAAAATTCTTCAATATAAAAATAACATTTTGCGCTTCACAGCTGAGTTGGGTGGCGAATTCACACGCACTCTTATCTCATCAAATGAAACGGTAGATGTTTATGAACTAACGGATCTAGCCGACGATGCTGACATTGATGTCGAATTGGGAAACCAAAATGATGATCCTGAAGAGGAATGGGGAAACCAAAATGATGATGCTGAGGATGATGCAGAAACACAAAATGATGACGCCGAGGATGATTCGGAAAAGCAATATGATGATCCCGAAGATAGTTTGGAAAAACAAAATGATGATCCCGCGCAAAGTGCCGAAAAACAAAATGATGACCCTTCGCAGCAATAATGACCCTTAAGATATATCTTAACCTTGCCTTACCCTGAGTAGAGAATAAAAAATAAAAAAACATAAAAATTTTATCAAATTAAAAGTAAGTTTTTTCGGCATTTCTTTGGCTCTTTTCGCTTTATTAACATACCAGTGACTCGAGAATGAAACAGCTCCACGGACGACTGTATTGATTGTTATCATTCGAGGAAATGCTGCTGTCCTACGCATGGTTATGAGAACGTTCCTTGATAAGGGTTGCATTCTAAACCCTGATGATGCAGAAGTTTTGAAACCTCTTCCGATGAGTGCAAATGTATCTTAAAGAGAGCAATATCGAGATAGACTTTCTGAGATTGAGGGAAAAATGAGTTTTGCCCACTTGCAGCCCGTCGATGCCTCCCAATTATTGCTTAGCCAAGTATTCACCCAGTTTCTGATGGTGGGAGACCTATAACTGGCTGTGGACCGAGAAATGCCGGGTCTGAGCCAACTCTGACCAATTGGTCAGATGTCTCATTACCAGGTGCTTTTGAGTGGCCTGATGAAACAATATGTCGCCAAATACTGGTCCACAAAAAAGATTAAAGCTTCCGAAATATTCTATTTCGGAAAGCCCCTCACCTACCAATCAAAAACTTTAACAGCCTTGCGATATGTGTTTTCGTAAAACTCGGACGTGTTTTATTTTTGGGTGCTCCTGACTTCGCAACTCTTTCTTCGATTTTCCAATTCGTTTCCAACATTCGTAACAGCAATCCCTTGAAGGTATGCAACAATTATCGCATTGGGTAATTCAGAAATTTTTTTTTTATTATTTTTTCCTCGGAACCATGTTCGAAAGCTTCGTTTAGACGCCAAAATAAGTGTCAGAAAATATGAGCCCTTAATATTAATATTAAAAATGTCCGCGTCGCACTTTGCGATTTCCCATAAGAATAATAAAGGAACAATAGTTTTTCTTTGTACTTCTGATTTTTATATCTAACGAACGATACGAGAAACTGCAAAGGTCTTTCAGAATTTTTGTGGAGAATTGAACGCACTACAAAAATAGGTCTGGAGTCATTTTTCGATAAGTCAACTCGATCAAAAGTTATTCGAGATCAAAATCGAAAGAATGGTGAATTCGTGCAAGGGCTCCGAGAATACCCCTATAGTATAGACAATAGAAAAATTTGACTGATTCGCTTTGCTTTCAAGTCATCATCAAAGCATTCACTAATCCGTTTAGATCGCAATGCATACACTATACATACATGTACCTCTTTCAATTGTCTACTGTGGTGTACTTTAGGGCCGTTTGCACCATGTCTAGTTAACGCTAACTGGAGGTACATCCTTCAGTTAAGCACGTTAACTGCTTTATCGATCACATTTTATATGATGGGTGTCGATAACGTCGATAAAGATGTTTAACTGGGAGTTAGAATTAACTAGACATGGTGCAAACGGCCCTTATACCATGTCCCCACCGGAGCTAACCACGTAGTTATGACTAATGAGTTGGTTATCCCGATAACCCACTTGATTTAGCGTAGTTTCGCCATATAAAAATGACAGTACTTAACCATTTCACTGAGATGGTTAAAAGCTAACCAACTCGAAACCACGTCGAAAGTCTGATACAACCCTGTGTTTTTCCGCCATTTGTGGGTCATTAGCGTGAAAATGTAAAAAATTCATTCCCTACTAGCTTGACCCTCCGCTTGACTTCAAAACTATTCCGTTTTTTTTTCATTCATGTTATGCCCCTCTTGGGGCGGTTTTTGAGTGTTCACCACCGGTTTCAGTAAAAAAATTGAAAGTTAGCCAAATTTCACTGTTAAAAAGTTATTCTTTCATAGCAATGCGCCAATAAAGTAACTTCGTTATTTTTTGATGTATGGCTGTCGAAATTGGCGGATGCAGAACGATACTTAAGTAGTATACTTAAGTAGAAGAATTAAATTTATATAAAGTAGAAAAGGTTTAGATCCTATTGCTCTTTAAAAAATTAAGTGTTAGATACCTTCTACTTTAGAGAAAATACTAAAAATTACCTAAATATATAACATATTATCCTTACATTGCCTCGCGTTCTTATTTTTGCATGAATAGAAAATATTTAAGTCAAAAAATTAATGTCAGAAACGAAAATAATAAAATCAATCTAGTACGGAAAATTTGTTTTGCTCCGAACACTGTTCTCTACATTTGAACTGCTTTATAAACCTCAAACCGCAGTGTGGACAGCAATAGTTAGTGATGTGGTTAAGTTCGATTTGAGATGGTTAGCTTTTTGGTGGGGACATGGTATTAATGTTACTTTGCTTTCCCTAGATTAGTGCCTAGAAGTATGCAATGTTTATTTTCATTTTAGCGTAATTCTCATGTACAGTGTATTAGAAGAAAAATCTTACATGCAAAAAATTTCAGTTAGCGATACATACATATCGATCAAGATTCAAGATTGCCTAAGTTAAGTTATGTTAAACAATTTTAATTTAATTTAAATTTATTTTTAAATTAGAGTTTGCCGAAAAATTTTATTTTCTAAGTATAAAATTTTTACCTTAAAAAAAAACCAGAAACCCTTGAAAATTTTAGGGTCTTTTAAGATCAGTTAGATTTATTGTAGAAAAAATGTATATGGTACGTTCCAAGTCAACCGGAACAGAGCTATATCCAGAAATTGGCGCAATAAAAATACGTTGAAAGGCTGAAAATGTACACTTACTCGCTCTTTTAAAAGCAGTGTGGCGATTTTAAAAATTCTAAATAGCGGCAATTCTAAAATCGAACGTATGTATGTACATGGCGTATGAGAAACATTCTCACCTTATCTGAGTAACTCATACGCCATGTACGTACGTTCTATGATTATATGTAAATGCAATCTCCTCATTGCCATCTTCCTTATTTTCATCGAATCATCCATCAGCAAATATTGGAACATATCGGAGCAAGGTTTGATTTTACGTTGGAATTCATCAACCGATCATCATCTTTTTTATTAAGTATCGCCACTTAACTTAGCTACTCAAATATTAATCTAAAATATATTGTACATCCATTGTCCTAAAATATAAAGTTATTAAAAATTGTTTGTATATTTGCTAAAACTCTTATAATAAATCCTTTGAAATTTCATGCAACATTCATACGTTGTTGTTTTTTAAAATGATTCACACCTAATAATAATTAAAATCTTAATTGTAAATTGTATTAATTAACATTTTTTTTAATTTCAAAATTCTGCAAGTTTTTTATTTTTAGATTTTTTTTTATAATATATTAGATAAATAACCCTATTATTTTTTATATATTAACTTTACACAGAGACACAACCATTTTTGTAACTATAATAGGGTTTTGGGATATTTAAAAAAATAGACTTGCAAAATCTGGCAGCCCTCCTAAAAAATATTTTCGGCAGTAAACTTTCTTAAACCTCTTATGGGTATCAACCCATATTGCAATATTTAACTTATCTTATTTAATAAATAAAATTAAAATTTTCAAACATGTGGCAACCTCCACAAAAATATTTTCAGCTGTAAGCCTTCTTAAACCTCTTTTTTTGACAGCCATATTGCAATATTTACTTTATCTTTTCAATTTACTTAAACTGCATATTTCAAACAGGTGGCAACTCTCAAATTTTTTTTTGCCTATATTTTAAGTTTAATGTCTAGCAATACATAGATGAAAACTGTATTCAATTCCAAGCTAACAATAATTCGAATTTATTATAATAGTTCAAAAAAAAACAAGTAAAGAAGTATAAGTTCGGGCGCAACCGAATTTTATATACCCGGCGCAGGTATCAAATATCGTCATTCCAGCTTTCTTTAAACTACCTTTGCATGATAAGTAGTGGTGTTTTTACCGATTTCAAACGTTTTCACGTATCCGCTGAGTTAGACTTATAGGTACAAAAGTCTCCAAAATTTCAGAAAAGTCCAAAAAACTACCGAAAAAATCGTTCTTAAAGTCCCCAAAGTTCTGCAAATACCGAAAAACTTCAACTGACGTTAAACACTCACAAAATTTCAGAAAGGTTTAAAATTTTTTAAAAAAGTACTGAATTTTTTTTTGGAAAAAAGTCCCAAAGATCTTGAAAATACCATAAGACTTCAATTAACGTTAAGAAATTGAGAAAAGTTTTAAAATATTCCGAAGAATATATCATTAAGTCCTAAAATTTCATTAAACTTAAAACAAAAAAACAGGAAAAAATGTATCAAGAGTCTCCAGAATTCTGAAAATACCGAAAGATTAAAAAAAAATTTCGGAAAAATTTAGAGAAGAGTTCAAGAATTCCTAATAGTTCGAAAAAATAGAAAGGTGCTAAAAATTTGCCGAAAATTAGATCAAAAATTTCAGAGAATTCCAAATTTATAAAAAGTCCCTTAAATTTTAGAAAAATCCAGTGTATGTTATATACTTACATATGTGACATACATATATATTTAATTGCTTATAACATTTTTCTAAAGTTGTACTAAATATCTACAACTGTATGCAGTAAATAAGACGGAGTCAATTCAAGAGTCAGTTGTAGATGGCACAGCTGCTTCCGTGGTAGCACGCGGTATCATTGGTTGAAGTTTATGACCTCCTGGCCGGCGACCACCATGGGGACCTTCATATATGTCTATATCTTCAGGTTCTCGACTACCTATTGGAGAGATGTTTTCAGTTTTATAATTAAAATGTTTTGCGAACTAATCTACTATAAAAATGGTACTTATAAATAGCTAAACCCGCCTTCGACTAGGACGACCAAAGCGAAAGCGATGAGAAATAATACGGTGAACACTTTCATCTTGCTACTTGGTGGGAAACTTTGCAAAAGGCTGACTTCACCGTAGTTGTTTTAAGCCCTTTTATACCATAATATTAGCCAATGGAGAACTGAAAAGGAAAATGTTATACAAGTTTATTTAATAGGTATTTTTAATGTTCTAAACGATTGATAAGTAAATCACGCTTCAGCTCAGTAAATCCGCGAGCAACTTAGATAAACGACAAGT